TAAAGTGTGCTTGGAAAACTGAACATCCATATAGAGAAGAATGCATCCTATCTCTTAACATATACAAAAATCAAATTAAAATGGATTAAGACTTAAATCTGTGACCTGAAACTATGAAACCAGTGTTGGGGGAACACTTCAGGACTTTGGTCTGGGCAAAGATTTTTTGTATAAAACCTCAAAAGCACAGGAAACCAAAGCAAAAATTGACAAATGGGATCACATCAAGCTAAAATGCTTCTGCACAGTAAAGGAAACAATCAACAAAGAGACAACCCAAATAATGGGAGAAAATCTTTGCAAACTCTTCACCTGACAAGGCATTAATAACCAGAATGTGTAAGGAGCTCACACAACTCAATAAGAAAAAAATCAAATAATCTGGTTTTAAAATGGGCAAAAGATCTGAATAGACATTTCTCAAAAGAATGCAAATGGCTGACAAATATATGAAAAACTGCTCAACATCACTAATCATCAGAGAAAGGCACATCAAAACCACAGTGCAATACCATCTCATTCTAGTTAAAATGGCTTTTATAAAAAAAAAGACAGGCAATAACAGATGCTGGCGAGGATGGGCAGAAGGGGGAACCCTTGTACACTGTTGGTGGGAATGCAAATTCATATAGCCACTATAGAAAACAGTATGGAGGTTCCTCAAAAAACTAAAAATAGAACTACCATATGATCCAGCAATCCCACTGCTGGGTATATACCCAAAAGAAAGGAAATCAATACATCAAAGAGGTATCTGCACTCCCATGTTTACTGCAGCACTATTCACACTAACCAAAATATGGAATCAATTTAAATGCCCATCGATGGATGAATGGATAAAGGAAATGTGACATATATACACAATGGAATATTATTCAGCCATAAAGGAAAATGGAATTCTGTTATTTGCAGCAAACATGGATGGACCTGGAGTCGTATTAAGTGAAATAAGCCAGGCACAAAAAGACAAATATCTCACGTCCTCACTCATATGTGGGAGCTACAAAAAAGTGGCTCTCATGGAGGTAGAGAGTAGAATGACGGTTAGCAGAGCCTAGGAGGAGAGGGAGAGGGTGAGGGCAGGGTGGGGGGAGAATGAAGTGAGGTTAATTAATGGGTACAAGCATACGGTCTGATAGAAGAAATAAGACCTAGTACTTGACAGATCAGTAGGATGACTATCTTTTACAAGAATCTATTGTATATTTCAAAATAGCTAGAGAAGAATAATTCAAATGTTTCTAACATAAAGAAATGACAAATATTTAAGGTTATGGATATCTCCATTACACTGATTTGATCTTTACAAATTATATGAATGTATTAAATTATCATATATACCTCAAAAATATATACATCTATTATATATCGATAAAAAATAAAATTAAGAAAACATGTCCACACAAAAAAGTTTACATGTTTATAGTATCATTATTCATAACAGTCAAAGGTGGAAACAACCCAACTGTCTATCAACTGATGAATGGATAAACAAAATGTGGTACAGTCTTCAATGAAATATTATTCAGCCATAAAAGTGAAGTACTGACACATGTTATAACATGGATGAACCTTTGAAAACAGTCTGCCAAGTTAAAGAAGTCAGTTACAAAAGACCATGTAGAATCTGATTCCATCCATATAAAATGACCAGAACGTTGAAATCTAGAGAGATGGAAAGTACAATAGTGGCTGCCTAGTAATGGGGGGATGAGCCGGGGTAATGTGGGAGGGTGATTGCTAATGGGTATGGCGTTTTGGGGGCAGGGGGTGTTGTAAATACTCTAAAATTGACTCTGGTAATGACTGACGTATCTGTGAATATACTAAAACTTATTGAATTGTACACATTAAATTGGTGAATTGTATGGTATGGGATTTATATCTCAATAAAGCTATTAAAATTAATAGATAAATTAACAAAGAAAAAAAGGAATGAAGTACTGATACGTCGTACTGATGATCTTTGAAAACATTATGCCACCTGAAAGAAGCCAGGCTCAAAAGGCCAAATGTGTATTATTTCTACAAAATGTTCAGGGGGTGGATAATTTTATGGTCAACTTAGCTATGCTATGGCTGTTTGGTCTAAATCAGTCTAAATGTTGCTGTGAAGATAATTTTTAGATGTGATTAACTTTTCAATCAGTAGACTGTAAGTAAAGCAGATCAGCCTCCATAATGTGGGGGGACCTCATCCAGTCAGCTGACAGACGTAAGAGCAAACACTGAGGTTCCCCGAAGTGGAAAGAATTCTCTCCAGAAGACTGCAACATACACACCCTGCCTGAATTTCCAGCCTGCTGCCTTGCGGAATTAGGACTCAAGGCTGTAATATCAGTTCTTACCTGAATTTCTAGCCTCCAGGCCTACCCTACAGATTTCAGACTCACCTGCACCAACAATTGCATGAGCCAATTTCTTAAGATAAATCTCTCTCAATGTCTCTGGGTGTGTGTGTGTGTGTGTGTGTGTGTGTGTGTGTGTGTGTGTGTCTGTGTGCACGAGTGAGCGCGAGGATCCCTAACTGGTACTATTTCTCTAGAGAAACCTGCCTGATCAACCACAGGCAAATCCATACAGACTGCGCGTACATTAGTGGTTGCTCCGACCTGTAGGAAGGAAAAGTGGGGAGTCACTGTTTATTCAGTGTGAGTTTCTTTGAGGGGGTCTAAAATGTTCTAGAATTAGTGCTGATGGTTGCACAACATTATGAATGTAATGAATACATTATCAATGTGTTCATACCTTATGTATGTATACATTATGTGTACATATATTTCATGTATACATACATTATAAATACATGAATGGATGAATGTAAACACTGAATTATACCCTTTAAATGGTTAAAATGGTGAATTTTATGTTATGTGACTTTTTTTCTCTATAATTTAAAAATAGACTGATTTAAAGAAAAAGGAGGGAGAAGGGAGCAAAGAGGGTCTTAATTTTCTGTTCCCTCATGTCCACCAGGGATGCAGTGAGAGGGACAGTCAACAGCTGGCTTTAGGGCCATTTTGACCGTTTTAAAGGGCATAATTCCGTGTTTTTTTAGTACATTCACAATGTTGTGCAACCATCACTACTATCTAATTCCAGAACCTTTTAGAGCCCAAAAAGAATCCCACACCAAATAGCCAGTGACTCCTTATCAAATGTTAGTATTTCGGGAAACATTCTTTTGCTGGTATGAAGCCAGGTGCCGTCCTGACAGACAACTGCCTGTCCTGCGGAAAATCTGACCCACACCAGGGCACTCAGCAAAAGTCACTAATATCAGGCCTCAATGATCCACGTGTCGCCTCATCGCCAAGCACCCTCCCTGCTTCCATCACTCCTTGACCTAAGAACGGAAAAGGATGGTCAGAGTCTCAGGTGGCCTTGGGTACCTATGGTCTGAGCACAGTGGGGACCTCTCTTTCAGCCAACATGTAGATAATCCCTGTAACCCATTTTGCCTTTTGATTAAAATAATCTCTGTATGGCAACACAGAAAGATGTTTTTGGTATACTTGCATAATGAATACGTAGCCCACGATGTCTAAAGAAGAAAAAACAGTTCAAATACAGTCATGTGTCGCAAATGAGGTTTCGGTCAATGATGAACCGCATATATAATGGTGGACCCAAAAGATTATAATGGACCTGAAAAATTCCTATTGCCTAGTGACACCGTAGCCTTTGCAACGTCATAGCACAAAGCATTACTCGTGTGTTCGTGGTGATGCTGGTGTAAACAAACCCACTGTGCTGCCAGTCATGTAAAAGTATGGCACATACAATTATATACAGTACATAACACTTGCTAATAAACAACCATATTACTGGTTTACGAATTTACTATACCATACTTTTACTGTTATTTTAGAGTGTACTCCTTCTATTTATATTTTTTAAAAGTTACATTTAAAAACCTTTAACACAGGCTCAGGCAAGCCCTCCAGGAAGTATCTAGAAGGCATAATGGTCATAGAAGATGACAGCTCCACGTGTGTTGTTGCCCCTAAAGACCTTCGAGTGGGACAAGATGTGGGGATGGAAGCCAGTGGTATGTACGATCCTGACCCTGTGTGGGCCTAGCTTGATGTGTGCGTTTGTGTCTTAATTTTCAACAAAAAAGTTTAAAAATTAAAAAATAAACTAAAAATGTTTTAAATAGTAAAAAGCTTGTAGAATAAGAAAATACTTTTGTACAGTTGTACAATGTGTTTGTGTTTTAAGCTAAGTGTTGTTACAAGAGTCAAAAGGTTTTTTAAAATGAAAAAGTTTATAAAGTAGAAATGTTACAGTAAGCTAAGGTTAATTTACTATTGAAGAAAGAAACATTTCATGAATTTAGTGTAGCCTGAGTGTCCAGTGTCTATAAAGTCTGCAGTAGTACACAGTAATGTCCCAGGCCTTCACGTTCACTCACCACTCATTTCTAGTCCTGCAAGCTCCATTCGTGGCAAGCGCCCTGTGCAGGTGTGCCATTTTTCACCTTGTACACTGTAGTTTTACCGTACTTCTTCTATGTTTACACATACAACTACTTACCATTGTGTTACAATTGCCTACAGTATTCAGTACAGTACCATGCTGTACAGGTTTGTAGCCTAGGAGCAATGGGCTATGCCCATCTAGATTTGTGTAAGTATACCCTGCCATGTTCGCACAGTGATGAGATCACCTATAGACAAACTTCTCAGAATACATCCCCATCAAATGACACATGACTGTACTAAAATCACGAAGTAATCCCTGAGCATGTAAGAAGATGGAGAAGAACAGATCTCCTTAGAGACTGCACTATGGGCGTCTGAATACATGCAGGCAATCAAATACTAATGAATGGTTTTGAAAAACAATAATTTGCTTTATTTCTCTCTTAAAATAAACCATAAGTGGGCCAACTGGAGGCACCGTGGATCACCGTCTCTGATTTACAAGGGAGCAACAGAGAGCAAAATTTCTCTGAGGAATAGGGGAAAATGAGCAGACCTTCCCAAGAGTGGTTCTCAAGTTAGTATGTTGCTGACTATGATAGAGACAAGGATCAGGACACATTTCGACTCCCCGAAACGCGCAGTTCCTTCTGGAAGCGTCTCCTCAATTGTTTCATCGGGGACTATGTCTTTTTCAACATTAGTAGGTCCTCCCTCATTGCAACGCATGCTATTACAGCAACGAACAAAATAGAAACTATTAGTTCTGAAGGAATATCTTGGGGCTTCAGGAGGCACTTGAGATTCATATAAAAATGTGCAGTTTTTTGTACAGTTCTTATAAATGAGTAGTTCACGAGAGTTCAGACCTAAAAATGAAGTAGTGATTAAAATCATTGATTTCACGTTTTCTGCTTGTAAATATCAAAGCACACATACCTCACATTCAACCATAACTAACTCATTTCTACATTTCCAACTGTTACAACATTGTCTAGAATTCTTTACTGAGAATGTTCAAGTCCACCAGAAGGTCTCATTACTCCAAAAACCACTTCTTCTGCAGGTATTTTTCTATCCAAGCTGCCATCTCTGTGTCTGCCTCTGGCCCTCCCCAAATGGCCTATCATGGTACCCTGTCATGTAGCTACACAAATAAAACATCCTGCTCATTTTTTGTCATAAGAATTTTAGAGCTCTAGAAATTAAATGAAGACTAGGAATGATGCTTTACTTATGCCCCAGAGATCACACAGACCTTTAACAGGGGTGCCCATATTAATGTGGCCTTAACCTGATTTTCTGCCCTTGGCAAGACCCCTCTAGAATAAGCTTCTTCCCAGGACCCTCAGCCTGGTGTTTCAAGTTCCTGGACCAACATATAAATGTCGATGAGCCCTTAATGCCAACCTCCTCCGAGCACAGACTTGACGCACCATTACAACTAGGGTTGCATAATGATGTGATTACCTTCACTAGAGGGCTCACTCAGTAGCCTCTGTTGACCAGTGCTACCTGACCAAAGCTCCATCTAAGGTCCCCTTCAAGAATCCCTGGGTTGGCCAGGCACGGTGGCTCACGCCTGTAATCCTAGCACTCTGGGAGGCTGAGGTGGGCTGATTGTTTGAGCTCAGGAGTTCGAGACCAGCCTGAGCAAGAGCGAGACCCCGTCTCTACTAAAAAAAATAGAAAGAAATCATCTGGACAACTAAAAACATATAGAAAAAATTAGCCGGGCATGGTGGCGCATGCTTGTAGTCCCAGCTACTCGGGAGGCTGAGGCAGGAGGATCGCTTGAACCCAGGAGTTTGAGGTTGCTGTGAGCTAGGCTGACGCCACGGCACTCACTCTAGCCAGGGGAAGAGAGTGAGACTCTGTCTCAAAAAAAAACAAAAAACAAAAAAACGTATCCCTGGGTTATACATCTTGGTCCTCACCCCTTGTAGCCTACACAGTATCTACACACATACTTTCTTCAGGAACTTAACACAACTCACTTATCCATTCATGGTTCTGGGTCTTGCCTCCTCTGTAACACCAGAAGGAACTAATGATTAAAAACTGGTCACTGTTTTCCTTTATTTTCCACGTAAAAAGTTTACTGAATTTCAACATGCTACGGAAAAGTGCATAATTACGAGTTGACACCTCGGTGGCTTTCATGAAGTGCACGTAAGCATGTGGTCAGCATCCGGCTTAAGAAACAGAACTGGATCAAAGCCTTGAACTCCTCACTCAGTCACTACTAGAAGCAGCTAAGGACACAGATAAGAAGCATATGGGCTTCTAAGCCCATATATTAGTTTTGCATGTTTTTGAACTTTATGAAATGAAATTATGCATTATGTTTGTATTTGTGTATGGCTTCTTTTGCTCTGCTTTGTTTCTATGAAATGCATCCCTGTTCTTGCATGTTGTCGTGTATTATTCATTCTCATAGCTGTGTACCATTACATTGATGAATATGCCACAATTTATTGTCGATGGACATAATGGTTGTTTCTGGCTTTTATCTCCAACTAGTGCTACAATGAATATTCTTGTACTTGTCTTGAGGTGAGCCTGTCTGAGACTTTTTATTAGCTATGTACCTAGGAGTAGAAATGCTGAGTCTTTGATAGGCAACTTTGGCAGATAATGTGGAAGTGTTTTCCAGACTGGGTTAAACCTATCCATGCTCCAAAGGATTGTGTACACTTCAAAACCTTGACAACACTTGGTATGGTCATTTTTGGATATTTAGTCATTTCTTGTGGTATTATCATGTTGTGGTTTTAAGTTACATTTCCATCAAGAAGAATGACACTGAATGACTTTTCTTACATTTGTTATCCATTCAGGTATCATGTTCTGCTATATTTCTTTTAAGTCTTCCGTTCAAATTTCTACTGGATGATCTGCTTTTTATTTATTAATTTGTAGGCAGAATTTCCTTATATATTATGAACAGGTATCCTTGAGTGGTGGATGAGCGAGCAAAGCTTCATCTCTGTTTATTAGCCGCTCCCTATCACTCTCATCACCATCTGAGCTCCGCCTCCCCCCACCCCCCCATCCACGGAAAACTGTCTTCCATGAAACAGGTCCCTGGTGCCAAAAAGGTTCGAGGCCGCTGCTTTAGCTGATACGTGTTTTGAAATGCTTTTTCCTCATCTGTGGCTTGCATTTTTCCCGTTTTATAGGCATTTTCTTAGGAGCAGAAGTTGTGAAATTTAATGTAATCCAATTTCTCAATTTCATTCTTATGTGACTAGCACTATTTTGTTCTGTTTTTAAAATTCTTAATTCCCAAAGGACACAAATACATTATTCTACATTTTCCTCTAAAAACTTTGTTTAGTATTTACATTGAGATCTACAAACCACCTGAAACTGCTTCTTTTGTATAGTACGAGTATTGTATATAAATATCTAACCTATCTACCACCATGTAATGCAAACAAGTGTCTTCCCCCACTACACAGCAGGGTCAACTTTGTCAGAGATCAAGTAACTGGATTTATGTGGCTTTTGCTGAATTCTTTCTCTTCTAGTGTTTTATTTTGTGACCCTAACCACAAGATCCAACATGAAACTATCTTAATTAATCAAACTATATAAATAATCTTGATAGTTCAGAGCACAAGTCCTCCAGCTTTTTTTCTTTTTCCTCAAGATCACCTTGGCTATTTCTAGCCCTTTATATTTCAGTAAGCATTCAGAATCAAGTTGTCAACACACACACACACACACACACACACACACACTCCGCTGAGACTCTGAAATTCTACTGAATTCATCGATTAATGTGAGGTAAACAGACATCTTTACTTTGTTGGGTCTCACAACCTATAAGCATGGTGTATTCTTCCATGTATTTAAGTCTTCAACAGTGTTTTTGCAGTTTTGGTGTTGAAATCTTGCACAAATCTAGTTACATTTCTTCCTAGGCATTGATTTTGTGGTGCTTTCAAAAATAGGATTCTTTTTGTAAATTTTATTTTCAATTTGTTTCTTGCTGTATGGAAAGACAATTGATTTTTGAATACTTATCTTATATCCAGGGTCCTTGCTAAAGTCACTCGTTATCTGAAAAGTTTATCTCTGGTGCATAATAGCAGTTTAAATACTTTCCAATCTCCAAGTGTTTCAGTTCTTCCTCTTGCCTAACTGAACTAAGAACTCCAGTTCCATTAGAAACAGAGGTGGTGATGGGAGTCATCTTATCTCATTTTTCACCTCAAGGGGAAAATCTTTGATACGTTCTCATTTAATTCTCATCATTTCTGTGATATGCAATTTCCTTTCTGCTTTCATTTCCCTCAGAGATTTTTTTTTAATTTGGAAAAGGTATTGGAAAGTTTCAGCGTCTACAATTATGTTTCTCCTTTTCTCTGTTAATATGGTGAATTAAACTAGTGGGTTTCAAATTGTACACCACACAGCAATTCTGAAATTGAATGCATGAAGTAGTGGCTATGATGTGTGCGTGTGTGTGTGCGCGTGCGCACACGGACATGTGCATGTGTAAATGGACTTTTTATTTTAAAATAGTCTTAAATTTTCAGAAAAGTTGCAAAGATAGGACAGAGTTCCTATACACCTCATATCCAGCTCTCTTGTCTCACATTACTTATATCCCTATGGTACATCTGTCACAACTAATGAACAAATATTGATAAATTCTTATTAACAACTCATATGTTATTTAGATTCCATTCATTTTTCCTTTCTGCTCTATTCCTGTTCCAGAATCTCACCCAGGATACTGCATGGCATTGGATGTACTCATGTAAATCTAGGATTTTGTTGGTTAATATTTTGTTAGTATTTATTTTTGCATCTATTGTCACAAGAGAAGGTGGTCTATAGTTTCCCTTTCTTGCAATGTCTTTGCTGGGTTTTGGTAATAGGATGAAACTGCCATCATAAATGTGTTAGGAAGCAATTCTTCCTCGTTTACCATCTAAAGGAGCATGTGTAAGATCGGTGTTATTTCTCCCACAAATACTTTGAAGAATTTGCAACTGAAGCAATCCCGGCCAGGAGATTTCTGGTGGGTGGGTTTTCACAAAGAATTGCACTTCATTAACGGGACACATCAGCATTACAATTTCACTGTGGGTCAGATATGGTTGTTTTTCAAGTTTTTGTTCATTTCATCAACAATCTGAAAGTTATCACAGAGGGGCTATTCACGATAGCCTCTGATTTTCTTTGTAAAGTCTGATGATGCCTCCTGTTTCATTTCTGATATTGGAAAGGTGAATTTTATTTTTCTGTCTTTGATTTTTCTTACTAGGTTTTACCAATACTATGAATCTTTCCAAAGAACCACCTATTGGCTTTGTTGAGTTTATATATATATTACTTTCTATTTCAAGGATTTCTTCTGTCCTCTTTATATTTCCTTCCTCATTGCTTTGGGGGAATTTTTCTTTCTTTTTCCAGCTTCTTCAGTGGAAGCTCAGACATTTCCAGCCTTTGTTCCCTCTGCTATCTGACTGTGCTGGTAGACACTTTGCTCTGAATCTCTTCTTCAGCCACTTTCCACTCATTTGACATGTCATGTCTTCATCATCATTCAGACCTTAGTATTTCCTCATTTCTGTGGTCACTTCTCTTTTGTGTGATTGATTTTATCTAGAAATACTCTGCTTAATTTCCATGAGGTTGGAGGTTACCTACTTCACTATGATTTCTGGCTAAATTTCACTGTCACAGAGAAGGAACTCTAAATAGTTCCAGTCATTTGAACTTTGTTGATGCTGCTGTTATGTCATGTCATTAATTTTGTAAATGTCAATATCATAAACGTCATACTTACCCGTGTAAAGCATGTCTATTTCCTAATTCCTGGCTCTGATGGTATACATGTGGGTATTTCATTTATTAATGGTGTAGTTCAGACCTTCTATAGCAGAGGCTGGCAAACGAGAGCCCATGGGACAAATTCAGCCCACCAACTGTATCTGTAAATAAACCTTTGTTACAACACTGTAACAATAATGTTTACTTATCATTTCTGCCTCCACCCATACAAAGGCAAAGCTAGGCAGTTTCCACAGGGACTAGATAGTCTATAAAGCCAAAACCATTAGTATCTGGCCCTTTACAGAAAGAGTTCACCGACCCCTGGACTATAGCCAAGTCGGCTCTGTCTTCTTGTGAAAGCATTCAGAAGCTATGAAGAGAGGTGTGTGGATGACTATACCATTGTGGATTTGCCTACATTTTCTGTCACTTTCTTTTCTGTGTATATTTTCATCCTACATTATTTAGTAAATACAGATTTAGATTGAGACATCTTCCTGGTAGTTCCCTTCATCTGCATAAAATATTGCTCTTCACATGAGCAGTGCTCTTGCTGGAAGTTTACTTTGCCTGAGTGTATGCACAAGTTTTCTTTAGACAATGTTTACTTATGTATACTATTGTCTATATTTTATTTTTAAACTTTCTGTGTTCTTATTATAAGCATATCTCCAGTAAAGAGAAAATACTATTTATTGTTTTCTCTACTCTGAAAGTCCCAGGCTGCTAATTATAACCATTTTCATGTTAATGTAGTTAGTGGTGTGTTAGTTTCTTAACTTCATTTTCATTAGATTTTTTATTTCAAGATAATTGTATATGCAAATGCAGTTGCAAGAAATAATACAGATAGATCCTGTGTACACTTCACTCAGTTGCTCCAAGGGATAACAGCTTGCAAAACTATAGTACATACCACAAGGAAATTACTGGCATTGAAAACAGAACACAGAACAGTGTTATCATAAGTATCCCCCATACAGACACACCTCTTTTCCACCCAACTCTTCTCTTTGTTTCTCGCAAAACTAAGTTGGTGTTTCTTTTTATAACTTTGTCATTGCTATATAAATGGAACCATATGGTATGTAACCTATGGAGATTGCTTTTTTTCACTCAGTAGAATCCCCTGAAGATTCATTCAAGTTATGTGTATCAACATTTGTTCCTATCTTGTGCTGAGCAGCATCCCATGGTGTGGACACACTCTGAGGTTTGCCTAACCACTTACCCATTGAAGGATATCTAGAATGCTTCCAGTTTGGAAGCTGCTTTGAACATCCATGTACATGTTTTTTGGTGAACACAAGTTTTTAGTTCTGTGGGAAAAAATGCCCAGGAGTGCAATTTTTGGGATGTATGGTAGTTGACTTTTTTTAAAGAAACTGCTGCACTGTTTGCTATAGCGGCTGCATCATTTTGCAGTCCCATCAGCAGTCTATGAACGCTCTGGTCTCTTTGCATTTTCGCCAGCATTTGGTATTGTCACCATTATTTATTTTGGTCATTCTGATGACGGCCATCCAACTGAGGTTTTAATTTGCACTTCCCTAGTGGCTAAAGATGTTTAGAATTTATTCACGTGCTTATGTGCCATCTTTGAATCCACTTTGGTGAAATGTCTTTTGCCTATTTTCTAATGAGACTGGTTGCATTTGACTGTTGAACTTTGAGATTTCTTGTGTTCAAGATACTTGCTCTTTGTTGGATGTGTGGTTTACAGATATTTTTCTCCCAGGTTGTATTTTGTCTTTTCATCCTCTTAACAGGGTCACTCACAGAACAAAAGATTTTCAATTGGCTGAGCCCCATGTCACAAGATGGCTCTGATGGGTCATGCTTTGCTGCCAAGGCCAAGACTCTCTGCTTCTCCCTAGATGCTGAAGATTTCCTCTTACGTGTTTTTTTTCCCCTACAAATTTTAGACTTTGACCATACACATTTAAGCCCATGATCCATTTTGAGTTAATCTTTATATAAGATTTGATGTGCAGGTTCCTTTCCCTGTATGAATGATGAAGAAGTGAGCCTTCCTCCATTAATGGTGTTTGCACCTTTGTCCAAAGTCAGTTGGGGGCTGGGTGCGGTGGCTCATGCCTGTGAAATCCTAGCACTCTGGGTGGCCAAGGCAGGAGGACTGCCTGAGCTCAGGAGTTCCAGAAAACGCTGAGCAAGAGCGAGACTCTGTCTCCACTGAAAATAGAAAAACATTACCCGGGCATGGTGTCGTGCACCTACAGTCTCAGTGAGGCAGGAGGCTCGCTTGAGCCCAGAAGTGTGAGGCTGCAGTGAGCTGTGATGATGTCCCTGCACTCCAGCACTCCAGCCTGGGCAACAGAGCAAGACTCTGTCTCAAAAAAAACAAAAAAAAAAACAACAAAGGTCAGATGGGCATATTCGTATAGGGCTATTTCTTGGTTCTCTATTCTGCTCCATAGATCTGTGTCCGTCCCTCCAACAACACCTAGTTGATACTGGTTATGGATGGAAGCTCTCAGTTGCTGACATTCAAAAGGTTTTCATAGAGGTCTTTTGCTTACCACCCTGCACAGCCCCAGAACTCAGCAAATATCCCAAAGGGGAAAATGTCCAAGCATTCTTGCATTCTCAAATCTCTGCCAAAGGCTTGCATAAATTATTTGTCCTAGTATCCAACAGGGTTCCTCCATGAAAGCAGAGCCCCACAAGTTATGAAACATAGATCTTATAGTTTCCATGCCCATGGGAGGAGCCAAGAAAGGGATGTGAATTGGGGAGGCTGAAAAGGAACAGCCCAGAACCAGGTCCACTTGAAGCTGAGGCAGGGTGGGAAAGTCCAACTTTTCAGGAAAATATCAAAAGCCATTCAAAAGCCATGCACCTCTGTCCTCCCAGTTAGGGACATACAAAGGGGTCTCTTGCAGAGATGTTTAAACTGCTACATTGGAGCACCTGTCATCTGTGTGGGCCAGTGGGCAAACACCTATTGGGGCCCAGGAACCGCTATTGGTGAAAAGGCCCACAAGTGGAGAAGAGTGGATGAACGTGAAGGAGGGTAAGAGTGAGGACAAGTTGGGGTCCACTGGTGTCCATCATGGTGTAAAAGACCTTGAACTTCCAAAGAAATGGTCTGTGCTTCCCCTCAACCTTGCACATCTTGGTCTAGTTCCTCTCTTTGCCAACTACACCCCAGAGCCACACAGAGATGGAGATTCTTGGAAAAATAGTTCCCTGCCTCATTCAGGAGCAGTAATCCCAAAATGACAGCTCAAGTTTCCCAGACATGGCCCACTGCATGGACAAAGCCCAGATTCTCAGCTTCCTACCCATGTCCCAAATCAGCAGATGCCTGCACAGTAGCGGCAGCTGCTACAACCAAGTGGCAATCAGAGGAAGTTTTTGCACAGAGCTTAGAACACAGATTGACATATGAAGCAACAAACATAATCCCAGACACTGGGTACAGCAGGGGCCAGGGGGCTGCACCTTCCCTGGTTGCTTGACTGGTCACTGGGCCTCTGACCATACATCTTTCTCAGGTAGGGCCCTGGGGAGAGGGACACCTTTCTCAGAGCACTAGAGGCCTCTGGGTAACAAGCAAGAGCATCTTGGAAGCTCAGGCTCTGCCCTGACTGCATCCTTGGCCTTCTCTTCTGTGTGTGATAGGCATTGCCCTGAGGAGTCCATGGTGGGCCCAGTTCTTGGACCTGCCTAGCTGGAAGCCTCCCCTCAGACAACCAGAAATCAAATGGGCAATGAAGGATTACCCAGGCCATACTGGGGTGTCTACACATATAACCTGGGACAGATAAGAGGCAGAGGCCTTGAAGTCCAGCAGTGCTCACACCCCCAGAGACATCACAGATGTGTGGACTGATTGCCCCATCTCAGAGAACATGATGTACACAGCCTCAGCACGGGGCCTAGCCTAGTGCCTGTGGGCATGCTCTCAGGACAGAGACAGGCCAAGGAGGGGTAACAGGGCTGGGTGCAGACAAAAGCGGACCAGCTCTGCCCCAGAAACTGCTCGGGTAGGAGACTAATATATGACGTGTCAAAATGACAAAGAGGTACTTACGAATGGAGAGTATGAAACAGCGCCTAACTTCATACGGACATGTCCTTACGGGTTCACAGTTGAAGTTGTTTATGACCGAACACTCATGGCATTTCAAATTATAGGTCCCTGAGAGAGGAGAAAGCAGGCATCAAGTCTTCTCTACCCATTACCAGCCCACTCCACCCTCCTCCAACAGCCAGCCCCTCCCTGCCACCTCCAAGGACTTCCCTACGCTTCACAGCTCAGCTCCCTGTGCTGTCTGGGTTTGGACAAGACCAGCTCCCATGAGAGAAGCAGGTACACATAGGAGTTCTTCCTGATCCAGAGACAGGTCTGAGGGAACACCCTGGCAGCCAGATGTGGGACTGCTGTGCTCTGCAGACCAGGCCCACCTCACCAAGGAAAGCCAGCATCCCCCTGGATTTCCCTGGACGCATCCACACCTACCTGGCCTGACGGGGAAGTGCCACTCGAGAGTCCCCTTCAGGTCTCCTGGTCAGTTAGCTATCATCTGGGGAAGCCCTCCTGCCTCCTAGGCCTCCCCCTGCTCATGAACACTCAACAAATTGACCAGTGCTCACTCACAATTACACTGACAATGCAGACCTCAGGCAGTTCAGATTACCCAAATTCTAGTCATCCCTCCAGAAGACCCCTATCAGCTCTGGGTGAATTCTGACCCCCTTCAAGACAGTGAGAGGGAATGATACTTACAAGCACGCTCATCATCAGTGGTGATGTTTGTTCCCACCAATGGGAGCCCCATGGCAAGAAGTAAGGCAAAGGGAAGCATCATTTCCTGCAGGGCTTGGGCCTGAAGGTGAGGAAGACCAGATGCCACGTCACGCCACATCAGTCAGGGCTTGCATCTGTGCGCCAGCTTCCTGCTGCCGGCATCCACAGCCCCGGTCTCTTCCCCTGCCCACCTGAACACCTCCCCCACTGGGCAGGCAGCTCCTCCGGCCAGGGACTGGGGTTGGGAAGGTCTTACCCACACACAAAGGCCTCGCCTTGCTCGTGCCTTCATCTTAGACAAACTCATGTCACCTCTCAAGTCAAGGAGGTCCTGGTGCTGCTTCACATGGCAGCTCACCCTGGGTCCCCATGCCCCAAATATTCCTCTGTATCCACTGGTTCACTCTGGACTTCAAAAGCAAATCATGAAACATTCTTGAATATTGCCCACTGAGGTATTTCCTCTTCTTACTCCAGCAACTCCAGAACACGAGGGGTGAGGTGATTGGAGAAGGGGAACAAGTACAGAACACGCCAAAAGCCAAATTTGAATTTGGCTTAGGAAATGTCCTTAGGAAAGAATCTCCTCCCTGTAATCAAGTCTTCCTTGGACCTGGACCCCACAGAGACATCCATTAGTTACTGGCAATGGGAGGGTCCAGGGCACCTTGCACCCGAGTCCTGAACCAGCACTGTGGGCCTGGGAATGCCCACCTCCCCACCGGGATACCAAAGAGGGCGAGCCCTTCAGATTGAGCTGTTGTCATTACTGATACATGTGTCAATTTGGGTACCGGCTGAAAGCCAGGGTGGCCAGAGACAGGGACTCCACTAGGGAACACAAACTGGAGTACTGTCTTGGCTCACAGGGGCAGAAGTGGCCCAGTATCTCCAGGAACCCTAAAGACCAAGCAGGTTTTCCCATGGGAGAGGCTCCAAGTGCTGTCTTGGGAGGAAGCCTGGGAGGCCAGAGAAGGCCAAGTAAAATCCCTGTAGTGTGGTAGATCCTAGGAGACAAACTGCTCCTGGAGGAAGCCCGCCACAATCACACCACTGGTCTCTGCCATCAGCCGGTGGCCCAGGTGGAACAGGTGTGTGGGGTGAAGTTCAAGAGAGAAAGTTAAAGCCTAGAAAGGGAAAACTGTCAGTGCTGGGGATTCAGAGACAAGCCACATGCTTTAGGAAACGCTTGGCTCAAGCCAACTCTCCCTGGCTATACACAGCTGGGAGACAAAATCGCATGAACTCAACCAAAAGCAAGGCAGGCCTCCTCCTCAAACATCTGCACAAGTGGCAGCTGGCTGGGCTGAGGCAAAAGAGCATAGCTCACATCTGCTTCAGTTAGGATTAGGGACAGGAGCTGGCGCCAGAGGTGGCATGGGTCTGGTTAGCTGCAACTGTCCCAACCAGGCTCCACTCCTGAGCAGACCAATGGACTAGGCCTTCCCACACTCTCCCTGAGAGAGGAGAGGGCAGGCATCCCCGGAAGTAACACATGGAATGGAAAACAAAATCTCAGGACCACCCCCAACTCCTTATGCAAAAGGGAAGACCGAACCTGGAGGCCCCATCACAAGGCACCCCCTTCCACACGAAGACTGTTCCTAACATCGCCCATCAGCCAGAGCCCCACGGGAAGGGAAAAGGCCTCACGCGTCTGCAAGGCTTGCCCCACAGTTCATTTCTAAGGAAATTCCTCTCTGGCCTCCTACAAACAAGGACATGCAAGTTGTAACTTTGCATTTGTAGGCTAAGTCCAGCTCCTAAAACTAAAATCTGTTCAATCCCACACTAATAATTTGGTTACAAGTTTATCTTCTGAGGTACAGAGCAGAGACAAGATCAAACATTCTTCCACCTAGCCAGAGACATCGACATAATTGATGCTTCCTTCACTCCCTTTTTGTCTCTAACATTTGCTTTCCCTCATGCAAAATGCACGTTTCCTGGGCCTCCCAAGAACCTAAGCATCCATCTCACAGCCCACCCCTCCTCTTTTTCCCTTTTGTATGCCCTCTCCCCTTTAAAAACCGAGCTCCCAAATCCCACTTTAGAAAAACAGTCACAGAGTTGTCTGTGGTTTGTGTTTTCCCTGGTGCGTCCTCAACCTTTGGCTTAATAAATCTCCACTGATGGACATACTCGCCGCCTCCGTCACTTATTTTGGGTTGTCACATACAGCCACCTACAAGCTTTACAGCTATTTTGTATACAAGGCCTTATGCAAGGCCTTACGGGACATGTAAGAGTTAGGAATAGGTCACTGCTAATCAATGAAACAGCAATGGAAATAAACCCACAGCTCACTCAAATTTTGACATTAGCATACAAGTGCTGTAAAAAATTATACTGAGAATATTAAATACAAAGAGAAAGATATCTCAATTGATTTGTTTTAAAAGATGAAACAAAAAAAACACAGGACTATAAGATGTAGCAACAGGGGACTATACTATGAATGATCTCTGTAACACCATACTTTTGACACCAAATGTGTGGGTTTTGCACACAAACCAATTCTCCAACTCTCTGGACACCAAGTGGGGATCCAACAGTTCAACACAGTCTGACACCACCTGGAGTTTGGGCAGAACTTCCAGGTCGAGGCTCAGTGCCACAGACTGCTCTCACTTCAGATACTAATCCACAGTCTGGGCCACCTGCACTTCTCAATAACCAGCTATATAGATCAGGGGTTCCCAAGACCTCCTCCTCTGAATTTGCTACAAGAACTCGCAGAACACAGGCAAAGATTTTACTTACTACTATCAGTGTACTGTAAAGGATTCAACTCAGAAACAGTCAAATGGAAGAGATGCATAAGGCAGGCTACGGACAGAGGGGTTCAAGCCTCCACGCCATCTCTGGGCACCACTCTCCCTGCATCTCCATGTGTTCACCAATTGCAAAGCTCTCTGAACCCCACAGTTTATGGGTTTTTATGGAGGTTTCACTGTGTAGGTATGATTGATTAAATCACTGGCGATTGGTGACTGCCTCAATCATGAGCCCCGTTTTGGTCCCTTGAGGCTGGGCAGTGGGGCTGCTGCCTTCATCTTTCTAATGATCAACCACAGTTATCTCATTAGCCTGCAAAAGTCACTCTTCCACTCCTGAGATTCCAAGCGTCCCAGGCTCTTGTCTCAGGAAGCAGACGCAGTCCTCCCTCAGTATCTCAGGGGGATTGATTCCAGGAAAGCCCTTTCCGCAGGATACCAAAATCCAAGGATCCGCTTGTCCCTTATATAAAATGGCACAGTATTTGCATATAACCTATGCACACCCCTCTATTTACTTTAAATCATCTCTACATTATTTATACCTAATACAATTAAATGCTATGTACATAAAGCTATGTACATAGCTGTTATATTATTAGTTTTTTAATTTTTTTTAACAATATTGTTATTTTTTATTTTTGTTTTTTCAAGTATTTTCAATCTGTGGTTGGTCGAATCCTTCAATGCAGAAGCTGCAGATACAGAGAACTAACTGTACTAAGAACAAATATTATGACCCAAAAAAAATGCTCCTATCACCGCTATCACTAAGGAAATTACAAATGTTTTAGGAGCTCTGTCCCAGGAACTGGGGAAAACAACCAAATATATATTTCATAATATCAAAGAATGCTAATCAATAAAACAGAAATAGAAGTAAACCAAAGTCCATTAAAATGTTGGTGTTAGTATACACAAGCTGTAAAATAATTATAATGAAAGTATGAAAGAGTAAAGATAAAATCAATTTTAAAAAGATGAAAACTACCAATTGAGAAAAAAATCCATAAAAAGAATCAAACGAACATTCTAGAACAGAAAAAATATTAGAAATTTAAAAATTCATTTAGATGGCATTAACAGCCAACTAGACTCAGTAAAAGAGAAAATTATAAAATATGAAGATAAGTCTATAAAATATATGCAAACTGATACCCAGAAAAAGAAATAGAAGAGAATGAAAGAACCAGGGAAAGGAGATGAATAAATAGAAGGCAGTCCAAAGTGTGGCACACATGTAACTGGGGTCCCACAAGGATGGGACAGAGAAATAAAGAGAGGAAATATTTGGAAGAGTTATTGGGATAGAAATTTTCCAATATTAATGAAAGGTATCAACCCCAAAACTTACAAAATTCAGCAGTTCCAAGGCAGAATAATGTAAGGAAAACCAATCTTACACACATCACACAGTTGCACTATTGGAAAAAAGTGAAAAATCTTAACAGCAGCCAGAGTCGAAAAAGACACTATTTTAAATAGCAACAGTCCAAGTGGTGGTCATCTTTCAAGAGAAACTATGAAAAACAAAAACCAAGAGAACAATAGCTTCAAAATGGTGAAGCAGGAAGCAATACCAAGCACTCCAGTCTACTGATGTGAAAATAGTCTTCAAAAATAAAGGCAAGGCCGGGCGCGGTGGCTCACACCTGTAATCCTAGCACTCTGGGAGGCCGAGGCAGGTGGATTGCTCAAGGTCAGGAGTTCGACACCAGCCTGAGCAAGAGCGAGACCTCGTCTCTACTAAAAATAGAAAGAAATGATCTGGACAACTAAATATATATATATAGAAAAAATTAGCCGGGCATGGTG